AGCGGCCAAGAAAATACTAGGATGTTCAAGTACAACGAGCAACACTGTATTGCGAGCAGAATTGGGAATGTACTCTCTTAAAACAAGAGAGACATGCAGAAGTTGAATTGGCAGTACAAGGTAAGTAGAATGTCGGACGATAGACTACCAGCCATGGTTGACAAGGCAGCTTGGGGAAAAGCGACTCCAGGGAAGAAGGGAATTAGATGGGACAAGGTGGTAGAGAAGGTTTGGAAGGAGATAGGAGACGAGGAGGAGACGTTGGACACGGAAGGGTTCGGGGGGTTCAAGACGAAAGTCAAGGAGATGCTAGAAAGTAGGGAGGAGGCAACCCTTCGGAAGAAGGTACGAAGCGAAGACCACTTGGAGATATACGGGAAGTTGAAAGAAGGGATAGCGATGAAGACGTACTTGGACGGCCCCATGGACTACGCGAAAAAGCTGAAATTGCAATTTCGAGTAGGCGATCTGGACTTGCCAGAACGGAGGAAGAGGTATACCAGCCGTAGGAGAGAGGAAGAGGAGGATAGACACCCATGTCCATGTGGCAAATCGGAGGAGAGTAGACCCCACATAGTTGGGGAGTGTGAGTTGTACAGGAAGGAAAGAGAGGATCTCGAGGAGGAAATGAGACAGAGAGGGTGTGACATGGACAAGTTTGGTAAATTAGACAACAGCGAAACAACGATAGCGATAATTGGGGATAGATGGTGGGCACAAGAGGCCCTAGAGGACGGGGATAAGATGTGCAAGAAATTTTTATCTAGTTTGTGGCAGAAACGTAAAGAGCTCCCAAATGTTGGTGGTGTCTCTAGTAGGGGTAGGAACGGTGCTCCGTCTCGAAAGGGACGCGTGGTCAATGGTCAAATGACTAAGGCAAGCAACAAATGAGTACGCCCCCCCCCCCTACCCCTTATGATGGTCTTTTCGACCACGCACGGGACTCAATAACCATTGAGCGCCTGGCTAAAGGAACCTCCCGCGTGGCTTTCCCCCTGTGTCACCCGCCAAAAACATGCTCAATCCTGTATGGGCTTCCTCCTGTGTTAAGTACCTCCACGGGGCGTCCAAACATACCAACCATGGTACCTTTAACAGGTGTCAATACCGGGTAAAAATACGTATCAACTGACTTCCACAATAATTGGGAGGACATCATACACATTCGTTAGGAATGGCGTGTTCGCCGGGTGTACCCCCCCAAAACATACTGGCGCCTTCGCATTGGTCGGACGCATACCGCCGTAAAGGCAAGTAAAATTAACACACACACACACACATACACACACACACACACGCTTGTTGATTGGCTAGCCGGCTAGAGAGGTTGATACCAAGCAAAGAAACACACACACATATATTTTCTGTTTTCAAACGGCACTGAGACTGACGTCTTTTCATTGGTCAGCCGATTTAGCGCCGTCGATGCTAATCACAAAATAAAAAAAAAACACACACACACACATCATCGTGGTCCTCACCCCGACATGGCGTTCCGAGTAGCTCCGGTCGTCATGCTCCTCCTCGCCCCTCCCATCCTCGGCGACTCGTCCGGCGCTACCCG